TGGGAGGAAGGAGGGAGGCGAGGGCAGAGGAGAGGTCAGCTTTATTTCCTGTGCGCTTTGGATCCTAATGACAGGCTTCACGGGTCACCATGGTACGGGCTGGTCCAGACTTCCTCAAGGGATGGGGCCAAGAGGTCTCCACACACCCCCCCTATGAACTGTAATGTGCAAACTGTTAGACTTGGACCACCGCCTGCTTGGTTTCACTTCGGATCGAGGTGGGACTAAAAACCTAGATTCAATTTCGTCTTTGAAGTTTGAACTTTTTAACATTTTTCTCATTTTTGCGGCGTATTGAGAGAGGGCGGCGCGCTGGCTTATAGGTTAGCTCGACCCTGGTCTGTGGAGGATTTTCTTTCAGGGCGATTTGGGAGTCTGTATTTCCCTGAGCTTTGATGAGAATGGTTAAATCTCTATTCCAAGTGTTAGCCTAGCCTATAGCTTTTTGACTCAATCAAGGGGGCATGTTTTTACTACTTAGTTTGAATTAGTAATAGATTGAAAAGCAGAGGTTGGCTTTAATAACTGCAGCCACAAGGGGTCAGTAAATACACAAATGAATGAGTTTGTGTGTCGATACTGCATTGTGAGAGGTAATAGTACTAAACTATAAGATGTCTAGTATTAGGCTAATTCATTCTCTCATTAAGCACATGTTAAAGGTGCACTATGTAACTTTTCTGGTAAAAATAGATGGGTTTAATGTTATAACAGGTAGCGGACCCTTCACCAGAAAAGCACCTTTAAAACATTCTATATTACACTAAATCAGGGGTCTCTAACCGTTTTTCTTCTGGTGAGATATCTTTACAAAAAGAAAATGTGACAGAGCTATTAATTTTAGCAATCACAAGAAATTGAGCAAGCCATAATTGGAGAACAGTTAGAGACTAGGGATGTAACAATAATCGAAATATCATGATATCGTATCATCATAAGTCTCACAATAATATCATGGGCTGTCACAATATATCGAATTACAAAATCCTTTACTTAAATGCACTGTTTTATAGTTGTGAACTACATATCCCATGATCCATTTCAGCACAGACAGCATGAAGAAATATGTTTTTAATTCTTGCGATTATGACGGTAATAATTCACACCAAAATCTTGTCAGGGTATTTTAAAAGCAAAAAAGTGTCCCATCTACAATTATATCAGCCTCTCCAAAATATCGCAATAAATATCGTACTGTGAGATGCATATCATGATAATATTGTACAGAGAGAGTTGGATATCATTACATCCCTATTAGAGACCTATAAAATATTAACCTTTATCCATTTATTAGTGCACAAATTTAGGCATGAAAATTATACATTTACAATGGTAGTTCATCAAATTTGAGTAATTCAGCACAATATGTATAATTCAGAAATCCTTTGGCGAGTTAATTGGAAGGGGGTGGAGAGCTACTGGTAGCTCCTGACCTACAGGTTGGAGACCCCTGCACTAAACTGACTCTTGTGAGCTTTAAGCCATGATATAATGCCTCATCAAAAACGTACCTGGAGTTGTGTTTTGTTTCATTTACTAACACTTTATTATTAGTGTGTCTACATCTCCAAAGCTCAAAATGCTCTGTTTCACCATGTGATGTCATGTAGAGTTCGTTTTCAAGTCAACAGCTAACGTTTACCTTTAGTGTAGTAGAGATGGGCATTTCAAAACACAGTGGGGCACTTACTGTCTTACTACATGACATCACAAGGTGGAACAGTGTTTTTTGTTTAAGAGATGATCTCACTCTAAATATGCAGGGTTTGTGTGTTAAACATGTGTGAATGAAACAAAACACAACTCCAGGTATGTTTGTGATGAGGAAACAACATTATAACATACAGTAAATCAGAAAATAACATAACATGGGCTTTTTAAAGAACTGTTCTGAAGTCTATTTGTACAGTGTCTTTACCAGTTTTAGTTGGTGAGTTTGTTTACTTGCCTTGAGTCTTTCTCTTGCTTTACTATACTGCGCTAATACACTGCTCAGAGCAATAAATGCCATCACAAAGTAATGAGCCGCATTAATGTCAAGTAGAAGCAAATTATGAAGGGGCGGGTGCACACAAACAGAAAAACACAAGATTTACAGTTGTATTTGTGGACTCTCTCCTTACAGGCATTTCCAGTCCTGTCGACACCTGATAGATAGGCTTATTATTCAGCCTGTTATGCTTTATGTGCAGCAAGTGTCCAGTTCAAATCTCATGAATACACAATAATGTTTTTCATAGGGCTCATCCACAAATGTTACAGTTCTTTATATTATTGTAAATAGTTTTCAGAAGCAATAGGATACAAGTAGATGTTTATTGAAATGCATAGACTTTTCTCCTTGTTATGCAGCTCCTAATATAATACTTGCTCGTATTGATCACAGGCTCTTGAAAATGTGCAGTTTAAATCTATTTTGTATTTTGTTTGTTTTCAGACAATCGAAAAACTTTTTTGGCAGTGTTTGCATTGTGTCGCCATGGTAACTGAATATACCGCCAACAGGGATACATGTAGAACACCCCCAGCATAATGTCACAGCAAAATATCTTGTGATGGAAAATCATTTGCAGTTTTAATAACTGTAATTAAACTGTGAGTGTTCATGTTGTGGCTGCGCTTGCAAATACATTTCTTGGTCTCCCAATAAATGATATGTAGATTAATTCAAGGTGCACTGTTTGACTTTTCAGATGGAAGGTACGCCACTTACTTGTCTCAGTGGAGATGTTATTGGAATGCTCCTCAGTATGGCATTAAATGTATCAGTCTTCGTAAACGGGGGCGCCAGCATGTCAAGTTACAGGTCAGATCTGTGGAGATAGCATAAAATCTCCATTGAAATAGAAGGTGGTTACAATGATATACAACATTACAATGAGCACCTTTAAAGACTTTCTGTACATTTTGATGTTTTTCTATGACATGACAGCAAAATCTTGAATCTAAAGAAAATATATAAAAACAAATGGTATTGATGTCTCCTGGTTTTAGTTTGTTTATTGTCAGAGATGCAGATGCAACCAATGTATTACTCTAAAGATTGAGTCTAAGTGATGCTGTTACCTTATCTCTACCAAGTACCTAATGTCCCGCAAGCAGTTTTCCCCAAAAGCAAATCTCCCCAAAACTGCTGCCAGTACTTGCTCAAATTCCTAAATATATGTTTTTTATTTATTTTTTCCTTGACATGGGCAGTCTGTGGAGTCAAAACTAACCAGGAAGCCCCAAGGCATTTTGATAGGCAACTTGTTACCCAACTTAAGCTCAGCAAGTTCAATTCCCCATGGAGCTATTTAGTATCTCACTTTTTATTGGTCATGTAGTGCCAAAAATACAACTTAAAGGTCCAGTATTATGGAAAATTGACTTTGGAGAGCTTTAAGCCATGTTATAACATTCAACCTCATCAAAAACACACCCAGAGTTGTATTTTGTTTCATTCACACATTTTTGACTAACCCTTTATCTTTAGTCTTTCTACATCTCCAAAGCTTAAAATGGTCTGTACCACCTTGTGATGTCATGTAGTGGTATTTTTCAAGTTCAACAGCTACGTTTTACATTTATTTCAGTAGAGATTGGCAATTCCATGTCTAAAATCGTCCAAATGATTCTAGTGAAAGTGTATGGAGTTTAAAAACACAGTGGCGCACTTCCTGTATTATGGTATGACATCACAAGGTGGTACAGTGTTTTTTGTTTAAAAGAAGAACTCAGCCTAAATGTGCAGTTTGTGTGTTAAACGTGTGGGAATGAAACAAAACATAACTCCAGGTATGTTTGTGATGAGGAAACAACACTATAAAATAGAAAAAAAAACATGTAATATGGGAACTTTAAAATCCATATTCTATTACCTACAGAAACAACTCATATATTTTTTTTCTCGTACTTCTCTTTTGTGTAGTTTTGTAATACATTTGCCCTTGCATTGCCAAAAGAAATCAACACGTACTTAACTGATAACATTATAATGAACTGATTTAATTTCTAACAATTACCTTTACGTTAATATTATACTCTACTGTCCATATTTTACCCCAGGGCAAAAACAGCAGCGACCGCCTCCAGCTTTTACACCCTTTGTACAAATGAATTAATAAATGAGTTGGTTAATTTTTCAAGAGACACCAACTGGCTAGCTATTCTGCCCTTTCCTGTGTTATACAATAGGGGTTCTATATAGTACTCGCTCTAATTAAATACATTTCTCTTGTAGTGAATGAATGGCTCTAAATTGTATGTATCTTTATCAATCTTGCAACTGTGCCGCTGTCCAGGTTCGCTCAAAAAATGAAATAATCTGACCCTAATCAAATCTATTATGTACCTTTTTCCATTTTAATAGTGCATGGTAAATAGTGTTGCAATGATACTAACATTTCAAACTCTTTAGACAATAGAAGGTGATTTTCAACAGTAAATTGTAGTGCTTTCTTTATATTCCCATGAGGTCTTATATCTGTGTAATCCTTTAGTTGTCCAGGTCGATTCCATAGTGGTCCATGGTCATATACTAGTCTATGTGCTCTTTTTCTTGTTCTGATACAGCTCAAGTTCATTCTAAAGCTGTTCAGGATATCTGAATGTCATTTTTTTAGTACTGACTCTTGCTCAAATGAGTATCTAGGTTCAATATTAATTTTAGTTTTGATTAATATCTGCTTTTCAATACTTTCAGTCAGTACTTTTGCTAATTAGTCACCTTCTAATAAAAATGCTTTGCTTTGGCTCAGTGTGAAAAAGGTGACATCAAATCTTTACTTAGGGTCAGCTATTAATTTTTCCGAGTGCTGTTTTCCTAATGAGAGAAAACAAATTAAGGAATTACATTTTGGTCCAAGCTCATGTAATATAATAAGTCACACAAGCAGTAGGATAATAGATTTTTAACTCCATGCTAATCTAATAGAAGCAGATGAGAGGGATATTAAATGGCTTCATGAACTTCTTTCTAACGAATCAATCTTTTGTTTGAATCTTTCTTTCTCTTCCAGCGTCTCCTCATCCGAACCACGTGGGGCGGGCATGTCTAAAACTCAAGGTGTACGTGAGACCACCAGGTAACCCACACACACACACACACACACATTTCAAAATATTTTGTGCGGACATTCATTTCATTCATTCATTCAATCATTCATTCATTTCCTAATTATATTCACTACTGGCCTAAACCCTAACCCTAAAGGGACAGTTCGGAACTTTGGACATAGGGCCTCATTTCCTAGTGAGCCAGAGTGTTGGAGACGTGTGGAGACACTTCTTTATATATTCCATCCAGTCCTTGTATTTGCAGAGGTCGCTGGTGCTAGGCTAGTGCATGTTAATGGCCATAGTTAGCCTGACACTAAAAACAGTCTTACCAACTCCACAAAACACCCAAGGCAAAACAATTATAACACCAGACTGTCGATGTGAATGTCTGTGTTGACAGAATAATTTTAGAAGTAAAACCAACCTTGCAATTGAAGGATTTATGTCTGAGTAGCAGCAGCGAGTTGTACTTCCTGATAGACAGCTTGGCAGCGGCAGATTGATGTATGAGAAAATAGTCCCTCGACATGCGACGATTCATGCGATGCAAGGCTAGTTTTATTTCAAACATTATTCTTTCAACACAAACATTTACATTGACAGTCTGGCGTAATAATAGATTTGCTTTGGGTGTTTTGTGGAGTGAGTAAGGCTGTTTTTAGTGGCAGGCTAACTATGGCCATTGACATGTGCTAGCCTAGCACCAGCGACCTCTGCAAATACAAGGACTGGATGGAATATTTTAAACAGTGTCTCCACATGTCCCCAACACTCTAGCTAACTAGGAAACGAGGCCCTATGTCCAAAATTCAAAACTGTCCCTTTAATCTGTTTTAATATCTGAACTCAGGTTTTTGATCTAATAATAATAAATGTCATGTAAGGACTTGATTTTCTGTCCCTATAAGGAAGGAAAGTCCACATGATATGTTTGCGTGTAAAGTTTTTGGTCCCCACAATGTGATAAAACCTCTAAACACACATGTAATTTTTTTATATTTTGTGAGGACATTACATTAAGTTATATTCATTTCCTTGACACTGATCACAACCTTAAATATAGTCAATACTTGCTTAAAATTTGCCTAAACCCTAACCTTAACCTTAACCTAAACCTATTTTAACATATGAAAACCATGTTGTTGATCTAATAATAAAGGACTAGATTTTGTCCTTATAATGAAATAGGTCCCCTTGATGTGAGTAAACATTTTTGGTCCCCACATTAAAATAAAAGCTCATTACATTGAAAACATTACATCGACATGGACCATAGTCACTGCTTGCTAGGGATGTAACAGTAACCGAAATATCTTGATATCGTATCGTCAAAAGTCTGACAACAATATCGTGGACTGTCACAATATATCGAATTATAAGTTCCTTTGCTTAAATACATGGTTTTATAGTAACAACAGCTTATAAACATAGAGAACTACATATCCGTGAGATGCATATCGTGATAATATTGTACAGAGAGATTTGGATATCGTTACATCCCTACTGCTTGCCTCACCTAAACTCTAACCGTAACCTATTTCAACCCATAGCTGAACTTTAAATCACATTGTTGATCTAATAATAATGTTTTATGTCATGGGGACCTGATTTTTCTAACAACGATGGAGGTAGTTCTGTGATGTGTGTACACAGTTGTGATAAAAACCTTTAAAAACATTTCATCGACTTACATTCATTTCCTGGGCACTTATCCTAACCTTACGCATAGTCACTACTCGCCTAAACTCCCTATCTCACGTTGTTCATCTAATAATAAAGCTTTTACGTCACAGGGATCTGTTCTTTGTCCCCGTAAGGAATGCAGACTTCCGTGTTGTGAATGTGCACGCAGTTTTTGGTCCCCACTATGTGTTAAAAACTCGCCCACACACAGACGCACACACACAGTTCACTAAAGGTCCAGATTGGCTATCAGAGTCAAATTAGGACCCACTAAAAGCTCTGATAGGGGGGGTCCTGCAACACTCTCCGCACTGATTCACAGTCCAGCCGACGTGCTAACACAAGTACACACAAAGTACACGCGTAATACACACATAGTACACACAAAGTACACACAGGCTGAGCAGGAATGCACAGGGCCACACTTCAGATCAAATCCCATCACATGAGAGGGGTGTGAGGTTGAGCGTCTGTCCTTGTGAAGGGAACAGAGAGAGCAGAGAAAACGTTAGTGAGCCCTGACACACTAACTGCACTTAGATTACTTTATGTGGGGCAACAAATTGAAAATACATGTGATGATATAATTGTTTTGTGCTTAAGATTTTAAATAAAAACATATTAGCCCATGATGAAATTATAGAAATACTATCTACGTGACAGATTATTATTATTACTATTAAGATTAATTCTGAAAAGCTTTTTAAAGTTTCACTGTGTAACTTCAAAGATGGAGGGTTTGCTACTTGCTTGTGTCTATGTTGATGTTATTTCTTTGCCTGGAATGTTCCACAGTAGGGCATTAAAAAATCTGACTGTTATAAGTTCAGTTATAGGTGTTTTAGAGCTCAAAAATACCTTAAAAAACATGAATTCTTACCATGTGTAGGCTTGCTTCTCCATAGATCTGACCATTAACCTGTCATTTTGTTTACCAAGTTTATTTCCCTACTGAGGAATAATCAAGTCAAAACAATATCTCGGACAATCCACCAGAAAAGTTACACAGTGCACCTTTAAATGCAGAATTGACATACATTTTCAAATTTAGTTTCTCTGCGTATTTGCTTGTCTCCATGGAGATGCTATTGCTTTGCCTTGAATGTTACATAGTATTGTTTTAAACTTTTCTATCTGGAATGTATACACTTACAGGTCTTTTTATTTAACAAAAATAAATTGAAAAACATGCGTTCCTACTGTGAGCAGGGTCACCTCTCCTCAGATCTGACCTGTAACTTGACATTTTAGAGACTGACAGGTTTACTGTGCGACATTTTGGGCAAAGCAGTCTTATCTCCATGGCGACAGACAGGTGAAACGTCACATAGTTCAGCTTTAACTTCAAATACTGAGATATGTTTAATTGCACTGATTGATTTATGAATGGTATGGTATATGAATAATATTTGGACCTAAAATAAACTAAACCACAACTCACGACCACCTCACCCTCCTCTTTTATGTTCAACATAATCTACCCACCCACAGTTTGAGAATCACTGTCTTAACCTGTTTTCCTTATTCCTACCTCACAAAGCACAAAACCTCGAAGTTAAGACAGAGGAGACAACATTTCACCAGTATTTCCCCCTAATTATGTTGTAATGTGAAAACTTAAACAGCCAAATACCTTTTTAAAACTGTGTATACGACTCAGCGGACTGCAGTAATGACAGATAATGAAACTCAGATCAGTTAGCTGTGTCTTTTGGCTTCTCCTTCCATAAACAACCCATCTCCATCTAGTCTTTGAGATACATAGAAAAATAAAACAATGGATTCTGTCTCTTCTTTTTGTAAACACAATCAAATCTGTACAGTAACATTGGTGTCACATCTGGTTATCGTTTTGGTCATACATTGATACCCTTGTAGCCTTAGTCCCAAATATTTCTTCCAATCTCAAGAAGGTTATAATTAAAGGATATTTGGCGGAAGGTATGCAGATGAATAAACATGAGGATTGTGTAGTACAAGATTAGCACAATGTTATATGAAGCCCAGCCAGCTCTCTTACCATCGTCATAACAACAAAGTAATTATATGCCTCCTTAAGCTTCAAGTTTCAGTTTGCAAACTTGGAATGCAATTTAATAAGCATGTGTGCTGGTGTTGCTAATCAAAAATGAATATCACTGGCAAGGGAAATTTAAATCGCTTTGTCGAATGATGAAAATGTTTTGAGGAGGATCTGCCACCTGCTTGTTTCCATGGAGATAGTATTGCTTTGCCTGGAATGTTCCACAGTATGGCATTTAAACTGTATAACTTGTAAAAAAAACACAAAAAAAAACTTTTACCTCTCCACAGCCTTTGGCTATTCACACCAGTTGCTTGTCTCTATGAGGATAGATAAGTATATAAGTTTAATGCCATATTGTGGAATATTCCAAGCAAAGACAAGCAAAAGAAAAACTCTCCATTAGACAAGTTACATATAGCACCTTTAGGTTTGGATATATATATATATAGAAAAAATAAAATAAAATAATCATAATAATCATCATCGTCATCATCATCATCATCATCATCATCATAAACAGGCTTAAATGCCATCACTCCAATTCTTAGGAGTTAAATTATAAATTCACCTATATTATTGTAAATTGTCAATATGCAACGAGACAGCATAAAGAATCATAGGTTAACTGTATTGTATTCACATTGTTATGGTACACTTGAAATTAATTTAGAAATGCATTATAAAAATAGGCACTTTGATAAAAAATCCTACAGATTTACTTGAAATATTCTGTCTCCATTGTGCTCACAAGTGTTCACAAACCTAAGCTCAGATCACTCAGTTTCCACATTATTCAATCTTACTGATTGTGAAAGAAAGTGTGATTTAAATCCAGCTGTAAGTCTTCCCAGCAATTGATACGAGCAGCTCTTTCTCAGCCCATAAGCCAGACTTTAGCTCTGAACCTGCGTAGTCTACGGTAGTAACTCTTCTCCCTTGGTAATGATTCAGCTTTGAAGAAAAACCCGTAGAGTCAGCCTGTGCCGCTTTTCAGGCTCAGATCTCTCCAAATCAGGAGAGACCAACCATCCCCCCTCTTCTTCTCCTCCATAAATACTGAAACAACACTTTTTTTCAAATTTATTATGCCTTTCCTGCTGCTCCTTATTGAAATTCAAAGCTTTTGGTCTGACATTGCAACTTCCATCTCATTGGTGAAATGTTGTCGCTAACATACGCTAAGAGCCCTGTAGTGTATATATGTATGTGTGTATATATATGTGTGTGTGTGTGTGTATGTGTGTGTCTGTGTGTGTGCTGTTCCAGTTTCACAGGCTTGGTGTGATTAAACTGTAATTAGGTTGGTTGAACCCCTGCAGAGCTGAGTTGCAGTCGTCTCCCCCTCTCTCCATCTATCCCTTATCCCAAATAGTCCTTGAGTTTTGCTTTTTGTTCCCATGTAATATTACACATCCATGTCTGGTGTTTCAAATGGTTCTGTCTCAGCCATGTGTGGATGTAAAGTCAGTTTGTGTACATACTATTTGCACTATGTAACTTTTTGTTTGGGGGTCTGCCACTTGCTTGTTTCTATGGAGATGTCATTGCTCTGCCTGGAGTGTTCCACAGTATGACATTAAACAGCCTGACCTTATGTTTATTGAACTGCAGGTGATTTTATTGCTCAAAAATACCTACAAAAACAGGCATTCTCTCTGATCTAACCTGTAACCTGGTCAGGTTTGGTCTCCATGATTAAAGAGAGTTTTAATATCATACTGTGAAACATTCCAGACAAAGCAATAACACGAAGACAAGCATTTGACGCATCCTTCACTAGAAACGTTGCACAATGCACCTTTATATAAAGAGGCAGAATAAGTATTAATATTATATAATAGTATATACATAAGAGCACCAACAACAAACTGTAAAAATATATGTGTCACCTTTACAGACCTAAATCTTTCATTTATTTGAGTGAACAGAGAAACTCCATTATTGTTTAAATTTTTCATTTTAGATTAGAATATTAGAGCTATAAGACTATTAGAATATGCATTTTCTAACCTTTCTCTCTTTTTTTATCTCTTCATGAAACAGTAATTGGCCTGTAATTTTGTTTGGTAACTTTCAGATTTCAAGCATTTAGCACCAATAGTCGAGCAAAGTGAAATTTTCATGTTTATGTTTGACGTTTTGTGATTTGACTCAGTCTTGTCTTGTGTGTCCGTCCCTCACAGTTCAGTCTTGTGTCTTTCCCCCTCTTCTCTCTCTCTTCCAGATGGATCTGGATACGACTCTCCGGAGCCTTTCCTTACCGATGGGGGTCCAAGATGGCGGTCGAGCCTCTCTGTCCTTACAGCCTCTCTGCTCCTGGGACTGCTCCTCTGGCTGTGACCCTGTTTTTGAATTCCCCACCCCAGTGAGGAGGTCTAGGGCTGGGCTGGTAGTACCGTGAGAGAACCACCACCACCCCTCAGGGAAGTGTTATAGCCCCTTTGTTCTTTTTCGTCCTTTTCCTGCTTCACCTCTCCACGGACCCCCCCAACACTGCCAGCCCCTTCCCAGTCAAGACATAGCTCCGCCCCATGTCAGATTCCTGAAACTCTGGGTCTTGATGCACCTCGCAGAAGAAGAACACAAGTGGACAACTGCACTCATTTCAGAGATGGGTAGTACAGTATTTGGCTGTATTTGACTCTTGGGAAGGGTAAGATACTCGCCATAGCTATGATTAAACTTGTCGTTCCGTACACCCAATCTTCCAAGAGGTTTTCGCGATAGGCCTGGATGCACAAAAATTGGATTCTGGCTCACGTTGCCATCTCCGTCCACAAAGTTCGAATTGGAAGTGGTCAAGCTTGCGATGTAATTGTAATTCTATACCATTTGGATTAATTCCTGTGATCGGAATGAGACGGGGAAAGTGGTCGGGGTCAGGGCGAAGCCAGCTATGAAGCAATTCCCACAAAGATTGAAATAAATGCGGGCAATTGGGAAGTGCAATATAATATACATCGCTGTTGGTTATTCACGTCACTATGTCAAATTGATACAGATTTTCTAATATGAAATCCAATATTGTATCTGATATCCAATGTTGCTGGCTGTTTTGTTTAGTTCACTTTTTTTTCTTTAACTTTTTTGCTCTTGGAGTTAAGAATAACATAAAACATCATGGTTAGGTCAAGGTAGCAAGGTATCAAGGTATACTTTAAAGGTGGGTTATAGAACTCACCTACTTGTCTCCATGGTTATAGTCTTGCCTTGAATGTTTGATAGTATGGCACTCTTCAATCTCCTTGGTAATATCTGAGAAAAATCAATCAGTAAAAGTAATTCTAATTGAATAAATGCAAAATAGATCAATTTGAGACCATGCTGTGGAACTCTCTAGGCAAATCTGTAACATCTCCATGGAGACAAGCAAGTGTTTGATCTTCTCTTCAGAAAAGATATAATGTACCTATAATGGGAAATGTATCGACCATTTGTTCTATGCCGCTATGAAAGCTATGGCTGGAATAGGGATGCACCGATAACACTAGTATCAGATATCGGCGCCGATATTGAAAATGTTGATGACTCGGATATAGTGGATCATCTTTTACCATAAGCCATTTGTGTTTAAAGGAGCACTGTGTATCTTTTCTGTTGGAGGGTTTGCCATCTGCTCGGCTCCATGGTGATTTTATTGCTTTGTCTAGGATTTTACAAAGGCTACATTCAGACTGCAGCCAGAAGTGACCCAAATCCGATTTTTTCAGCCCTGAGCGACCTGTATCTGATCTTTTAATGACAGTCTGAACAACTCTGATCCAGTTTTTTCAAATGCGACCCAGGCCACTTGGATATGTGCTCCTAAAACGTATACATATATCCAATCTTTTGACATGTGACTTCAGTCTGAACAGCCAGGTCACATTCATCCCACCTACACGTCAGGCTAGGAGTCTTGTCAATGGAGGGAAAGCGAGTTTAGCGAGGCAATTAATATTTGGGGGGATCGCTGTATTCAGGCCAAATTGGAGGGGTCTTATCAGAACCGGGCAGTTTCTGAAATGATTGCCAAAGAAATGGCCAAGTGGGGCAACAGATGGTCCTAGCTCCAATGTCAATGAAAAATAAAAAGCCTGTGAGTCAAATAAAAGGACGTTAAAGACTCAAAGAAACGAAGCAGACGTGGACAAATAACCTGTCCGTTTTACAAAGGACTGAACCGGATTTTCAGAGACAAGCCCAGTGTTTAAGTGACTTCCGCAAACACTGAGCGCACTCGTTACATGTGAGATGTCATGCCCTCCAATGCGCATGTGGGACACTTTTGGTGCATTTAAAGTTCACGCTGGAGAGCACATACAAGTAACATTTATTTGGAAATGTGAATGACCTTGCAAAAAAATCTGATTTCACAAAAAAATCTAAATTAAGCATTAAACCCTGCAGTCTGAACGTAGCCAAAGTTTTGGACTCTATCAGAAAAGTTACACAGTGCACCTTTAAAGGAAATCAATTATGCTCCAGTATGGGTTGATATCAGGTAATGGCAGATACTTAAAGCCAAAGTATTGACATCGATATCAAAACAGAATATCAGTACCAACTTTAAGTCCACATTATGAAGTGAAAGGCAAGTTTAATCGTGCTTCGTTTTGGTTAGGGTAGGTAAAGGGACGGATGAGGGTGGGGTGGGGTTAGGTGTATATTTTCAGTGGTGGGGGTGGGGGGGGTATTTTGTCTTCTACATGTTTCTAAATAAAGCATTTACCACGGCCTGGCTAGCACAGGCTTGTTCTGCACTGTCTATGTTAACTGGTTTGGGTGGCCATGACTTTCTCATTTATATGAATGTACCACTGGTCACCCACCACCTCTTTCTTGTCTTTCTATATTGTTTCGACTGTGGTCACTTAACTTCTATGAGAAAGGTGGAACAAGGTGAACAAGAAGCAAGCATTTCAGGTTGTGACAGGTTTTGGGGTCAGGGTTGGGATTTTGATGAGAGTTTTGAAGAAAAGGAGGTGACACGCTAAGTTGCATGACCACTGTGAAAATTCTTGTTTGTATTGATGATCTATTTTTTCATGGGGGATTTATCTGAAACACCTACTCCACCAGCGCTCTTCTTGCCCTCTTTGAAGACTTTTTAAAAATGGATTTAAAACGAAAAACAAAAATCCAACAGCCTCTCGCCAACCGCTCACACGTTTTCTCCTGTCTGGATTTTGGTCATTGATGGATTGGCTCTTGTTGGGGAGACGAATGGACCAAAGGGGGCAAAAATGACTGAGTATAAGCCCTCACTCAGTACAATGGACATAAACACTAACTTGAACTGTTATATAGGTCTGAAAGTTGTCGCTTTGTAAAACTGGAAAGCACATAGGTTTGAATGGGATAGGAGTGTGTGTTGTAGCATCACAGGACACACACTGGCACCCACACGCATAGAGATTCTTTGATAAAGTCGATGTAAGATGGAATAGCATTTATTATGGACAAAAATGTACAAAGAAGACTGCGCAGCGGAGGAGAGGAGGACGAAGAGGAGGAGGAAGTGTGTGTCATGGGACTTCTTTAATGTTAGAACGTAACATATGAGCAAGCACTGTGAACACACAACATGGAAATCTATGTACAGATTTATACGCATACATTTGTAGAAACATTTAAAGGCATTTGAATCGGCCTCGCTCAGACCTGGAGTTAAAACGAGTCCAAACTGGTAACAAGTGGTCAGAAGTGTCACCTCTTAGTATGTCTGTTATGTTACATGGTTTTTAATGTCTTTTTCACATTTGCAACCACCTGAAATTGTAATTGTAAACTTAAGTAATGTTTAGTAGCCACTCTAGGACAAACAAAAAATATTCTAAAAATCCTCACAATGTTTTTTTTTTTTTCTCTTTTGTACACTGTACACTGCAAACTTAATGACTTAAACTGTTGCAAAACCAATGTTTTCAGTTTCAACATTTTCACACATTCAAATAGAATTAATGACTACACTTCATTATAATGAGGAACTATTAGATAATCAGAAATAACTGATCCAAACCATAGACTGTATATATAACTGGACATAACCCACCAGCTACCATGTTACAAATAGGAAGTGTTCATGGGGACACTTCTGGCTCCATCAACTCTGGCTCCAATTGACTTTATATTGAAAAACTGTCACGCCCCTCTCTCTGTAACTACTGCAGTGAAAGTCATTTTGGTCTTAAAATGTTCATATTAACCCACTCTATATGATCCTGGTGTTTTTATTTCTCTAGTTTGTCTGTAAATAAATTCCTATTCCTAAAATGTAACTCAGCTCCATATTGGCTTATAACTGCTAGCCTCATGAGCTTCATTTGGCTAGATCTGAACACTACAGGTGATGTCACACTCCCTTTGTCCACTTCTTTATACAGTCTATGGTCCAAACTAGCCATACAATCAAAACACAAGGTAAGTGTTACGAGATAGTGGACTTTATAGAGGCAATTACAGTTTTATATCAAACATCAATGAGTACTCTTTTTTTATTGTAGTAGGCCTAAGTGGACTGACGTTTCTTTTACTGTATCTTTTTATTAGTTATTTTATTTTTTATTTTTCTTTGACTTCTGGCTCGGGTCACTTTCAAATGGCAGGTAAAGGCGCACTGATCGGACAAACTCCGTGCCTCTTTCAAAGGTGCTAAGGCTGAGAGATCCTCTGTGTTTTCCATCAATGTTTTTATTCATACGTCAATGTTGTAATGTGAAATATTTGATCTTAACCACATGATGTCTAGCGATTGATTTACACACAACAGTAACTAGCTGCACCTTAAAAGCTCGCAGTGGTTGTAACTAAATAAAGTGAGTTGTGTTTTTCACCATTTGGCACCACATCACATTGTTGAAGCATAATTGTAATTGAATATCTTTATGTTTTGGTAAATTGTCCAAATGTCTATCTGTGAATTTTACAATCAAGAAATGTAAATAATTTGTACTGTAACTTTGATACTGCACTAGAGTCAAATTCCAAACAAAATGCAGTGTTTTGACTTGCCTACATTTTGAAGGTTGAATGTCTCCTGCCTGATAGCAATAATAATATCTCTGTATCTGTACATATGAGACCAAATCTACTCAAACTGACCACTTGTAATCAATACACAGTGTAACAAATGACTGATTTTAACTCCAGGTCTCAAAGGGGTCTTTAACATTGAGCATGGACATACAGAGACATGTAATACGCAAAAACACACACTAGGGGGAGCACTTCTGTCCCCATCTCATCTTATTTTTGTAGCATTTAAAGTCACTGTCGATGACTCGTGTATGGGTTGGAGCGATGGGACATAGCCCGTGGAAGATTATACAAATGTGTCTTCTCTTCTTCTACTCCACTTT